ATTCTTTTTGAAGGGCTTTAGAAAACCTGACACATCTGGTTTGGCTTGTAAGCGCTGTTTAAACAATGATCTCTGCATTATGCTAGATTGTAATTGTTTCTTAAAAATACTTGACATCCGCATTCGCATCCGCGGATGTCAAAAATTCCACATTCGCAACATCCCTAGTCATAGCCATTACCCCAACCGTAACCACATTATCCATCATGATTATAGGTATCATAACCATAAAGGGCTGATTTCTCGTAGTCAACAATGCCGGTGTTGCTAGACGCGGAACAAGATTCGGAAAATGTGTAATACCGTAGGATATTTGCGCAGAACTTCTTTCACTATTACTAAATTCTTAAAACTCAACACCAGATCATAATCAAATATGTACATCAAATTAAAGGTACTATCTTGTACTTTCCAATAATATAAATTCTTTCTCATTAATTACGAAATTTTGTTAAAAATGTCATTTTATGAAAAATATACAATTTTTTGTTCGTTTTTTAGTATTTTTGGATTAAATATTTAAAAAAGCATATAAGTTATGTACTTCAGCTGAAATATAAATTAATTGGGTTTAGGTTGTCATCATAAGTTTTTGAATCGGTTATGTAGTTCATACGGGGTTAATATTTAAAAGAGTCAAAACATTTTAATTTAACCTCATATATCTTCTTTATATTTTTGCACCAAATAATTTTGGTACAGTTAAAATCAACGTGAGAAGTTCTATCAAGTCACATGGCTTTTGCATAGCTAAATGGTTCATATTCTACACTTTTGTCAAAACGTTGGCTGTGAACAATAGTATATTTTTTAACGTCTGGCAACACGTTCTTACTCGCACTTCAGATATCAGCTGACCATGGTTATAGTGGAAAACCAAAATTCAATTGGTCCCTATGGCTATGGTTATTGCTATGGCTTTATGGTGTGGCGCCACTAATCGAATACAGTGTTGGCAGTAAGGTTGCTTGGAACCAAGGATGCATTGCAACGTTAATTTTAGCGTTTACCAAAAAAAGCAATCGTTTCTGTTGAAACGATTCAGTTTTTTATCGTTTAGGTAATTATCAAAATAATTCTATTTTGGTTTTTAACGAAAAGAAATTCAATCGTTAATGCTAAAGCTGTAGCATGCATTTAGGTGCTAGGTGTTAATAGTGAACGGGCAATGGCATACAACAACTTTTCGTAGATTTATTTTGTTAAAGATTGATGATTTATTTCGTTTCAACGTTAACTATTGAGTTTTGTTTCCTTTATTTTGATAAGTTATTTTTCAGGGTTCGTATTTGCACACACATGCTCTGCTCACACACACGCCAGAAACACATTCAACTTGCACTCACTGCTCATACACATGTGTGTGCATAAGTGGAAAACAAACTCTACTCACAGAAAAGTGTGTGCTGTTTGTTATTAAGCACATGCACATGTGTGTGAGCCAATTTTTGTACAAATTTCAGCCCATGCACATGCACATAATATATTCTTAAAAGAATTTGTTTATTAAACGTTATTTTTTGAAAGACAATTCAATAAAAAGTGAGATGTTGTTTGTTTTTTATATGACAGAAAACATATTAAAAAATTATTTTAAGATTTGAGTTAGAATTCGAAGTGTATAAGTTTAGCTCGGAACACTTTGACGACAGCAAGCGACAAGCAGCATCTGTCAAATTTTAAATACACACGTTCTTACGGGCACAATTATTTTGACGACAGCACGACATCTTGGCTGCAGGACTGCAATTGTCGACGTCGCCAAATTAAATCTATTTCTAATTTTGCCGGCGACAATGAGTAGATGTAGTGCTGCAAAATTAAATTGTCGCAAAATTAATCACATATTCTTGATTGTTCATGTTTTTCTTATTTACTTAAATAAAAATACACAATTTGTGAAATAAATATACCAAAATGTCAAACTTTAAAATCGGCTGTTTGCTATGTCGCTGAGGTCTTCAAAATGTTTAAGAAGCTGGCTTCAAGGCGACATTTGTCGACAAAATGATGTCGCTGTCGTTACGTCGTGAAGTTGCAGTCGTCAAAGTGTTCCGAGCTTTTCTCTACGCATAGCGCACACATGTGCGTGTGCTTTACATTAATAAAAAGAAAGTACATACATGTGCCCGTGCTGTTTACCAAACGGCACACACATGTGATGTGAGCAAATTTTTAATTTTTTATATGCACAGCACACGTGTGTGAGCTTAAAATGTTAGGATGTGCTGCACATGTGTGTGCAAATACGAACCCTGTTATTTTTGCGCATCAACAAAACGAAATCGATTCATATAGTTTGTTGAGCATCTCTGCTTGGAACCATAACCATGTCACCACTAATTTAACCTTTAATTGGATGAAAAGTAGTTAGGCTGTTAATAGATAAGTGCATCAAGTACGAATATAACTGCTGTTACATATAAATAAAAAATGGAGGGTTCAGGAACTATACGGAACCTGTTTACATGTTGTCCTCGACCATACCTACAACTTACACTAGGTTTTGTTATGGGTGTATTTCTTGACTTTTTTGTAGCACGAACTAGTTCAGTAGTAGCAGGGGACTAGTTCGGGCATAGTTGGGGAGTAGTTTCGGCCCAGTTGGGGCTTAGTTTTGGACAAATTCAGGACTATATATATAATATATTCCCAAACTACTCCCCAACATTTCCCAAACTGTTCCCCAAGTAAGCCCGAAATGGTCACTAACTAATTCCGAAATGGTCCTGAATAAGCCCCGTCCTTTAAAACTTAAACAATTTTTTCGCACTCATAATTATTATGACAAGACTTTTATAGGATAGGTCGTAAAATAAGTCTTTGAAGACTTAAAAATATTCATCATTTATTATATAAGTCTTAAAATAATAGTTATCGATGACTTAAACAAATTTTCTCACACATAATTATTATCAAAGTCTTTTATAATTCTTACGAAAATTTGGATGAATTTTTAAAGCTCCACTATGAAATAATTATTATTCCGGGTCTCTGGGACAAATACAATTAATGGCTGAGAATCTAGCCAAATTTCCTGCAGAGTATTTTTAATATGACATTGTGTGTAGATATGTTTTCTGGTAATTTAATCGAGTCAAATTCCCCGCAGGGTATATTTACAGCATACCCGCGATGCAGCGAAACAGAGGTGGCGCCTTCCGCGGACCGCTAATCCTCCCTTTCTCGATTTGACAGCATCCACCCTTTCGCTGACGTAACATTATTATTTTTGAGCACTTGTGATGAATACTAAATATTCATATTGTACCTATTTGCCGAAAAGTTGTACCTAAAAGTAGATACACGTACCTAAACAGAAAACATGTACTTTTATGTGCATATATTTTTGTCACTCTGTGGACTAAATCTTCCATCTGTACCATAACAACTTTTGGACTTACATGAAACTATATTTTACTACGTTCCAAATGTACCTAAAATAATGTCATTGTACCGAATGTACGTTCAAATTTAGGAAGCTGAAGAGTAGGTACAATCCTACCTAGTTTTACATCACTATTTCGCACCACTGGTTCGCTTCTTCCTCTTCTTCTTCAAAATTATTCTTTACACTCTCCTTCTCAAAATAATGTGACGTCACACCCAGTTGCTCTCAGCTCGATTGGCGCAATCTTGTATTCTATCATTCTTGCAGCATACCAATTTGCCAAACGACGTCGTTTCCGATTCGTTCTGGTGAACAATTTGTCCGCTGGCGACGTTCGAATTTCATATCCGATTAAGAATGTCCGCGATTTAGCTTTCCCTGATTCCATATACATATACACATTTGATGTTGCCTTTTTTAAAATATTTGCCTTTTTTTGGCTTTTCTACCTTTAATTGTAAAGGGCAAGGAAAAGCCCTTATTCCTGATAATATGAAAGTTTTAGCGTTCCATATTTAAATTGGGCTCACTTGTATCAACTCACGTCGAGCGCACGTTTAGTACATTCAAGGCTTTTCTTCGCGAAAAGCGAATGAAAATGCTGCCAGAAAACTTCAAAATTCGTCTAGTGGTTCAATGTTACTACAAGTACAAATTGTTCATATAATGAAACTAGTTCATAGATTTTCTCTTTTTACTTGTAAAATAAGCATTTCTAAAATAAATGTATTTTTTGATTATTATTCGGTTTTGTGATTTCTAGTGCCTTTTTTTGCCTATTTCACCCAACTTCACCAAACCGACATCGTAACGACTTCGATTCGATGAGAAAAAACGAAGTCGGAACGACTTTGCATTCGAATTCACCCAAACGACTACACCAGACCGACGTCGTAACGACGTCGATTCGAACTCGCCCCCGTTCTGTGGCAAATTGGGATTGCATGTAGATATGTTTTCTGGTAATTTAATGCATATGTATTTGTACTGATTCATGTAGTTGGGCATGTGTGTACATGTGTTTGTGGCTGATGTTGGTGCACTCGAAGCGATCTGAAAGATTGATTTCCGCATTCAATAGGCGACTGTGTGTTTTATAATTTAATTTTCAACAATAACTTCAGCTTTTTAAAAGCTTTCATTTAACTTGCTCTGTATGTATGTATGTTTGTATCTTGCAATCAATTTTTGACCAACTTCCCAATAAGCTAGAGAATTTAGTCTTCACAGTTGGCTCATAACCCGATGACAATGCAGTACGAAAGGTGAGTACATAAATTCGATAGGTGACGCAGGAGCCGAGATATTTGAAAAACCCGTATTTATAGTCCGATCATATTTGGAAGGTATATTAACTACATGAAATGGAATAACTCCACTAAAAACGTTGCTGTTAGGTGGTGCAAGAGTCGATATATTTGGTAAACCGATTTCGTTCATATTAAGAAAGCTTGCTTTAAAAATATTTGTTTTTACTGTTAACTTATTTAATCTAACATGTAAGTATGCATGTACATATATTTATATATATGTATGTACATACAAAGTACATCAAAAATTATGCTTGCACCTACAATTCTTACAATAGAATCCTCAGTTTAACGCTTACCTGATTATGACTCGAGAATTTGCGCGTTACTTTATAAAACAATCAAAATTATTTGTAAGATCAGAAATAAATATATTGGTTGGCAACATAGCGATTTATTCCAGTTTATTTTAATTTAGTTTAATTTGATAAATTTTATTTTAATCACATTAAACTTATTTTATTTTATATTAATTTTATTTTGTTTTATACACACATTTTGGTTTTTTGCGCATTTTCAATACGTATACATTTTTCAAAAATATGCTCAGAGCGTGACTTTAGAGATATAAAATAATCCCTGATAAACATTTTTATTGTTTTACATTCGCGGTTTTCTGATTTTTTTCCAGTAACGGGTGAAAACAATGCCCACACACAAATAGCACACACACTTGTATGTACATACATATGTAGAATAAAAATTTTATAGCATACACATATGCTGTATTCAATTCAATTCATTTTAAAACTTTACGCTTAAAATTTTCACTTTCGAAACTTTGAATCGCGCCCGTCCGTCGATCGTCAAATCGCGTCTCCAACTGAGCTTTAGTTGGGGTAAGTTGCGATCTGATGGCGCCGAACGCCGACATTAACTATGGACATACATATCTACATACATGTGTACTAGTATGGATGTCGGCTTGTTTTGAATTACCTCCCTTTCTGCTGCAGAGATTCGCTGGCTAAAACGCATAAAGCCAGGCATACGTATGAATATGTACATATGTATGTACATTAGACTGCATCATCAAAAAAAGTTGCGTTTTTTCCGCCGGGATTACAAAATTTTGTTATATTTTAGATTTCCACCAAAATATTTCAGATAAATATTAAGATTTACGTGAGCTGAACCGATTTGAAAATACCTCCAAAAATATGAGCTTTTTATGAGTAAAAACATGATACAAAAAAGAAGGTCACTTTTTCGTCGCCATATTAACAACCTGACAATTAAGTAGATTGTGAAATTTCGTGCTACCATACCCAATATCTAAATTCCTCCACATTTTTTTATTATTTTTTTGTTTGTTTATTAACATTGTGTTCTTATACTATGTCTCCATTGAGAGATTTATCCATTAATATTTAATAAATCCAGTTGCTAAATCACAACCGTCTCCATTACCACAATGAGATATGTTTGACGTTCACATTTTTAAATATTTGACGTTTGCTTATGTATGATTTTATAAATACAGTTGCGGACATTGATATACAGACAGATAAAAGGAAGGTACCAAGCGGAATTTCATTATATGAATTCTGAATATTATTGGCTTTTAATTCGTGGTAAATATGTATGTGTAATATATAGTTTGGAATGTGTAAAGAATGGTACCATATTCCGAATAATTTTCCCGAATTTAAGAAAAATTATCAAAACGGTAAAAACATTTGCGGGAAGAAAAATTTGTGTAGAACTCTCTTATTCATAGGAGGGAACCGAAAATCCAATCGTGGGCCTTTGGCATATCATGAATAGGTACGAACTGAGTTCTAGAGGATGTTCGGTGCAATGTTATCGAAGCAGAACCATTACCGAAATTTATACATTTTTTGTCGCAGCGCGTAAATGACTTATAGAAAGCGGAGAAGACTCTGCTTGATATTAATATAAAACGTTTCTTCTAAATTTTTAGTTTTTAAAATAACATTTTCTTAATTTATTACAACCAAAGTTTTGGAAATATGTATTACTAATTTTCATCCCAAACTAACAAAATATAAAAATCCCTAAAAATACGAAAATTCATGTTTTTATGATAGGCTAGATTTCAATGTCTGTATATTGAAAACACAAATGTCATTTGACTTATGGCATGTGAATTTGTGGTTGCCACATTGTACTTATTGATCAATATTATTGAAGATTTGACGGAGATTTAACTTAAATCTACTGCCTTTCGAGATTTAATTTTATATGGTAAATCTCAAAAGATTTAACGTCAAATCTCGTCAGAGGGCTAAATCTTCATTAAATCTCACAATGGAGACATAGTATTAGAATTGAAATTTGAACAAGCAAAAGGTATTTTACTTGTACAATAATATTGGGTTATTGGGCCGTATGCAAAAGAACTGAGCAATTGCTTTTTCTTAAAATATATCTTTCACTTAAATTTATTTGAACAAATTGAGTACAAGGTATGAAATTTTAAGAAAAAGCATTTGCTTAGGTGTGTCCAAACGCTGAACCCAAAGCAAAAAATTTTAGCACACACGTGTGGTCAAACAATTAAACGTTAGTTTAAAATAAAGATTTTAAATTTTTAGATACAAATTTATGAATAAATTCGGTTTAAAATATGGACCTTTTTGTAAAAAATACTGTGGTCAGCGTAGCCGGAGTTGGACTTACATTTTCTTTGTCAAAATGCTAATTTTATTCAATTTTTCAATGAATTTCCCTTCCGTCTCCGCTCCCCACCTCAAAGCCGTTGCATAAATAACCGAACATTTCCCCTTTTGTTTTTGAAAGAGAAGAGGTCTAGTGATCAATAAGATGATAATTGTGTTTCTCTTTTTCATACTAACAATAAATCATCAATGTTGTTTCACACCCCCTCCAATATTGAACAGTAAAATATATTTATTTTTACGCAGAGAAACAACGATATTGTCGAAATATATTAGAATTGCATAATACTCACTTCTCTGACAGTCATGACATAGAAAACTGTAACAGTCGCCAGTACATTGTGAAATATTCAGGTGACATAATGACACTAAACAAATTTTAAAATATGCTCACTAAAATTGTATTAATGTACAAATAAAGATTTTGGCAAGTAGTTATCGAATTTAATGTAAAATTTAAACGTTTTTAAGATAGGATATTAATTATTTTTAAAGGTAAATGTTAATATAACTATTTTATTTATATTCCCAAATTTAGGATAGAAAACCCTTCCACCAAAAAACTTAAATTGGGTAACGCTGCTTCGAATTTTTTACAATTGAGCAAATGAGTAAAAATAGTTTCTTAAGGGATTTAAAAAAAAAACCCTCAGATGACATGACAGTTTAAGCTCTAAAAACCTACATAAAAATATTCAAAAATGTTTTCAACGCAATCATAACACCGCGCGACAGTAAATGTTACACACAAAAAATGAATATATTCGCGAAACTATGGGGAAATTATAGTAAAACTGCGTACCTAGTTGTTCTCTCTGACGCCAGGATTTTTTTTAAAAGGACTTTGAAATTTAAAAAATATTTAAAAATTCGGTGCAATGTCGGATAACAATAAGGGTATCATATAAAAGAAAAAATTCTGTAGAATTATAAGAGAATAAATTTTTTGGTGCATACGGACGAATAGGTATGGAAAATGTCCTTTACAAATTTTTCGCTTAAATATTCTTGAAAATTTGCAATATATATGGGTCATTCCATACAATATTTACACCTCAATATTTTTTTGGGGTGAAATATATTTTTTTACATTCTTTATCGCAAAAAAGGAGTTACCTCATCGTCATGATATTCGAAAATCTCGAAAAAAACATCCCGAAATTTTTAACTCACGGAGAAGTATCTTTTTTTTAAATGTTTGCAGTAAATAAACTATTTCTCAGAGAAAATCAGTTAAGGTACCAAAATGTGCGCAACTACCTCGGGTTTCCATAAGAGAGTGTGATAAAGATTAAAATAAAAAATTAGCTTATTTACAACGGAATAAAAAGGGTGGGAAAATTCCTTTCCAATGATACCTCACTAGTCTTAATCAGTAAAGTTTAGTCTGAGTTATTCAAGTTTTTTTAAACTAGTCGTTGAAAAAAGCATCAAAAATCTCATTGTTATGATTCCCTTGAACATTTTTAAAAATTTTTATGCAAATTTTTGAGACTTAAACTGTTTTGTCACCTGAGGTAATTTTTTGTAAAAATATACTTAAAAAACTGTTTTTATTCTTAAAAAACTCAATGTTTGGAGGTATTTTCAAATCGGTCCAGCTCACGTAAATCTTAATAGGGCTATTCGCGATTCGGTGCATAAGAGCTGACAAATTTATGCAATTGCAGAAATATGCCATGGATTGTGAGCGACCTTTATTAAACTGTCATGGCAAAGCTTTTGCAAAACAATTTTTGTGCATCAGCTTTGGTTTTGTTTATGAATGCAATGCATAGCATTTTTATGCTATGGATTTTCGGTATTGCAAATTTGCCAAGCCATGACAAATGCAAATGCGTGTATTTTGTTTGTGTATTGCAAATAATTTGCAATACAAATTTGCAATGCAATGATGCTAGGCCATTTGCACCAGATCGCGAATAGCCCTATTATTTTCCAGAAGTATTTTGGTCTTAAAATTTGATAGAATTTAAAATTCCGGTGCAAAAACAGTATCGATTTTTTTTTTGTATGGGGAGGGATGCAGTCTAATATACCTACATATAAACAAATTTACACTACATACTTTGTATGCGTGATTTAGTAATTTTTTATATTATGAGTACATTGTATGTATGAGCATTAGACCGCGTCGGTACCCAGACGAAAGATACAAGTTTGTAATTGCCCACCCTAGTTTTAAAAACGTCAAGAAGGTTTAGGAGAAAAATAGGCTAAGTCGATTTCTTTATAGTTATTTTTATTTTTAACCAGATGTGATACAGCTGGGTGAAAGGGTACTTTCGATGGCTATAGGTATCTTTAAGATCGTGGAATATACCATCACACGAATAAAGGCGTGATAGTGTTTTGACGGCAAAAAAAGTCGCGTAAAAAAATTTTGCGAAAAAAGATGCTTATGAAAAACTTCGGCGAAGTATGTTAAGAGTCTTTGACGCTAATGTTTTTTTATGCGTCTTTTTTCGCCGTCAACTTTTGAGCTCGCGCCTTTATGTGTCTAGTGACGATATGAACTAGTTTTCCGACCTAGCTAAATCCATTGTGCCAACCCTTAAGAAGTCACTCCAAACTCTGTCTGTTTATGAAGTTAAGCTCGTTCTACAAGATTGTATATATGTAAGTGTGCGCCTACTTCTTCCATCACTTACTAAAGCATTTCATTAAAATCAAATTTGGTTTAAAGAAATGATTTAGTTCTATAGAATCACTTAAAAATGAGGTTTCGAAATAACTTCCAGGGTGATATACCTATGTAAGTACTACCATCGATCGATTTTTGGTCCATGGAAGTCAGTTCAGACATTACTTCCACAGATCTGATTCATGGAACATATGCCAAAAATAAATTCCATGGTAATTTTCTATTAAATGAGTCGCTCATTGCACAAATTGCTTAACTCCACTTTTTAAAAAATCTTAAATTTAAGTGTGTTTTCTTTCAGAAAATGTTGTATGAACTCCAGATAACAAGCTATTCAGCGGAATTCGGAAACTGATAAGGCCACGACTGTTACATTTGTACATTTTTTATATTGGGCTATTGGTACAAAATAAAAAATTTGGACGACATTTTTTTTGTAGTCTCACGATTGGTACTATACAGCGATTACGGACAGTGTTGGAATTTTAGCTATTTTTCGGCTAGATTTAGCTTTTTTATTTGTGTTTAGCCGGAAAAATCCTGTTTTG